AAAGTCTCTTCATTTACAAGGATAGTTGAGAATTTATGGTTATTAGACTCTTAAGTGACACTATCTATTGTAGATACCTTATTAGTTAAATAGTTAATCTATCTTAGTACTGTTAGATGACACCTATTCATAAGCTTGTAATAGATTTTGTTCGCGTGAATGGTAAAAGTTTAAGTTTTTTGTTATATTTTGTAAGATAAATTCAAAATAACTTCAGTTGATGGTGTGATTAATAACCTTTTCTCAGATTTTAAAGTTCACAAATGAAGCAGAAAGAAGTCACTTAAATGCTTATTCAATGAGTACAGCATGTATAAACTCTAAATTATATTTTTAAACATGAAATTAATATAAAATATTTTACTGTAAAACATCCAGCTTTATTTTTAATTAATTTTAATTGTTCTTCATATTCTTTGGTTAAAAGTCTTGTGCATTAAACTTTTCTGTATTTAAGACACCTTTTTTAGGCTAGATTCCCAATAATGGAATTATTGAATCCAAATGTGGGCACCCTTTATTTTGAAAGTTTTGTTGTTGTTGTTTTTAAAGATTTTATTGGGGAATTGGGGGAGGGAAACAGCGTTGGGGAATCAGGGAAGGGGAACAGACAAGTTGCTGTCCTTTTGTTCTTCAGTCTAGTTGTGGAGAACGTTGCCTCACTGGTCTATGTTGGTATTGTGATCATTGCGCTCTTCCCCGGTTAGGCACATCGGTCGCCGGCCATTGGACGGCCACTCACAGCGGCTCATGGCAGCTCTCTCCGCTGCTGGTCGCTCACACTGGTTGCCAGCTACTCACGGTAGCTTATGGCAGCCCACTGCAGCAGGGGCTGCAGCCTGCACCATCACTGGCGACTCACAGCAGCCCAGCTCCAGGTCGAGCTGTTGTTCACCATCTTAGCTGTAGAAGGCGCAGCGTCACTGGCCCTCATGTGGGAACCGAACCCGGGCCCTGCTGCTTAGAGCTGGCGTCTAAGCCAACTCTTAACCAACGAGCCACTCAGCTGGCCCTGAAAGTTTTTGATGTATGCTTTTGCCCAATTGGTTTTGAAAAGACTTACACCAATTGGCTGCCATCAGCAGCGTTTGCATATCCATTTCCTTACATATTATGTATTTAAGTGAGAATTCAAATTCCTTTGTTGCATTTTCCACATTTTTAAAATTTAGTTGTGATGTTTGTTATTGTCTCTGCCCATTTATAAAGGTTTAGTGTTTTTCTTTTCATATTAGCTATTTCTGTATTTAAACACCAGATGTGTCCAAATGTTTCTCTCTCACCACCTCCCCCCAGCAAAAACAAACAAACAAAAAACCCTGACCAAATTCAAGTCAGACAACAAACTGGAAGAAAATATATCAGAGGTTTAATATTTTTGTCTGTCTGAATATCTTAGCTTTTTGTGTAGTATCCATGGTAAAGTTTAATATTCTGGAGACACTAAGATACCATTATGATTCTAATTAGAGGACAGTGCTCTAACGGCAGCTGCCCTTACACTGCTGACGGAGGCACAGGGTGCTTGCGCTACCCTACCTAGACCGCACTGGTTTTACTGCTTTATGTAGTTTTTCTGCCCCATCTTTACTAGTTGGATGTCATCTGTTACTTATTGCTATTGTTTCTACCAGTTAAATCGCCCCAATGTACTGTATCAAAAGTGGTTACATTTCTTAAAGGATCCTAAAAAGGAAAAAGAAAATGTTAACTTAAAAGTATATACAAGTTAAATATTTGTATATTCAGTATTTACCTTGAAGTTTTCACTGTTCAGTAGAAACTAGACTCAAATAAAATGTCTCGTGTTTGGTGATCTCATGTCACTGGGTAAGGGACTATGCTATGATTTATTTGCCTGCATGATGGACAAGTGTCATTCCCCACTCCCCTGGAAATCATTTGTTTTCAAACGGTATCTTTTATTGCTTCAGGGCTTTTCCCCAGAACCTCCTGGAGATTTATTTTTCTGGCCCTAATCCCTATATTGTATGGGAAATATACAGTGTCTGGATCAGAAGCTAGAGCTAATACTTATGCTATTCATGTGGCTTCTAGTGGTTCCTGGGGTCGAGAAAGTGGATAGAAAGGAATGGTCAATATGGGAGAGATTGTGGCACTCGAATTTAGTACATGACTTGGTAATATATTAATGGATGGGCGAGAGTTAGCTGAAATTATAACAGTAGCTGTTACAATAGTAGTTGTTACTATTTATTGTGCTCTCTAATATTTTCAACAATATTCAAGGAAAGTAGTATTCTTCCCATTTTACATATGAGGAAACTGAGGCTCGGAGATCATGTTTCATTCAGGGTGAGCACAGGTACTGCAAACAAATTTAACTTTGGACGGGGTCAATTTAAGAGAGGAATGTCTTATTAGAAACTTCAAACAGTAATTGGGAGACGCAGATTTGGAGCTTGGTGGAAAGGATAGGGCTTAACGAGATAGGTTTGTAGAATCCTGTGCACACAGGTAATTGTTAAAATATCGGGGATTTGCTGGTGATGTACTTGTGTTATGGAATCATCATGGCAGTAGAGTTCATTGTTCACCCATGCTGTGCTCCCTGCCACTCTTTCTAAAGCATAGGCCCTGACTGCCTGGGAAGCATTAATTTTGTCCAGGGAAGGTTATGGAACATGGATTTACGAGGTGGCGTTATAATATACAGATTTCCTCGGCCTCCCACCTCATTGCCCTGTTGGTCATGATGCGCTGCTGTAGGCCAAGGGCAGGAGGCCAGGCACACCCATTGGAAGATGCTTCAGAATCTCCAGTAGTCTGAAACCCCTTCCTTCCAATGAGTCTGTGCCCCTGCCAATACATTTTTTACAATTGTTGTCCTAGACCCAGAGAGAAAGAGTGGGGATTGTTGCTTTTAATTCTACTGGTAAAGAGATAGCCTTCTTATTACCTAATTAATTAGCGAAAACATAGAAGAAACATATGAGCCCCTTTAATAGTAGTAAAGAAGAGATTACAAGGAAGTGACTTGCTGAACTTGAAGGAATGACGTGTATTACAAGGCCGCAGCAACAGCTGCTCTGGCCTGCACTTGTTCTGGAGTGTTCTCTTTCCCGCAGGCCCACCCCAGTGCCTCTGCTCCATGCTCTGCCTCTCACTTCCAACTCCCCCAAGCTGGATGGGAAGGGATAACCTTATTGTTCAGTCTCCGACTTAGGCCTGCAGTTTTGTCTAGCCGGCACCACTGGGTTGGCTCTAGGCCCAAGATTTTATAAGCTACAAGGAATTACCTGAGGCTGTTTCCTCTGAGATAGCCCTGGCAGGCAATTTGGAGGCTTCACAGTTTTTTTTAGGAAAAATACACAAATATTCTGCATTTTCAAGATGAAATTTGCCATAATAGTCAGTGAATCGTGTGAGAGTGTGGGGAGTGGATAGTGGAGGGGCAGGGTGGGTGGGATGTATGTATGAAGAATGTGTGAAAAGAATCACCAGTCGGATTTGTTTGTTTGTTTGTTTGTTTGTTTGAAACTACAGGAATATTCCAGTTTCTGTATCCCATGTGAGGTACTTTGGGGATGAGCCCCACGTCCACAGGGAGATAACTGCTACCAAAAGGAGTATGTCATATTCCTCTCGTGTGTTAGGGTAATAAAAGATTGAGATGCACAGACCTAGGAAGTGCCATTCAACTTGAGGTTAGGGATGTTTCTAAATTATTGTCCATACATATACTCACTGTCAACATTACATGCTTTTCATCGATGAGTAACTTCAACAAATGTCTGCTCTCTTAGACTGCTTAGTGGAATTCTCAGAATAATTCTCATTGTAAGTGTTTGGCAGTTTTGGAATGGGGAAAGAACCAAATGGACAGAGCAACTAGACTTATACAGGCTTTCCCTGTTCATGACAAATGCGTGATATATTTCCATGAAAATGAAGAAAATATTCATTTTTGCAAATGTCATCAATCTTTAACAATCAAGAATTCACTTGGCAAGAGACGTGGTGTAGCTACACAGAATTGTGGTTATTGTTACATTGTTTTGTTTACTGTAAACCTGGCTCAATATTGGTAAATATAGTGTAGCAGAAGCTGAACTGTTGTGAGCTATCTGGGCATTGGTCCAAGATACCATTAAAAATACTGCCTCAGACTAATTTGGGTTTATGAATAATATTTAGTTAACAGCTCAACTGAAATTGAGCCACATGGTGTAGCTTAAAATTTCTGGATCCACAAGATAATGAGAGTAGTATAAGTATATCCTGCATACTTAATAGTCTGTATTTGACTGATAAATTTGTGTCATTTTGTGTTAACTTTTGAACTTTAAGCGCCCAAATGCTGAATTTGATCTGATATCTTTAAAGTTCATTTAATACTGTAGTTTGCTGTTAATTTGAATGCCTTATAAAGCAAAATAGTATGGCTACTAAACAGATATTAAAAGGGACATTCAACACCTGTTTTGGCATATGGATGTGCAAATAGCAAGAGCTGATGTTAACATTCACCAAAAAGACTGAAGGACATAAAGTTGTTGGACAACTTCTAATAACTTAATTCATTTGTTGGACAAGTTCTAATAATTCATTTATTTTATGAATGAAAAGTAGTAATTATACCTTAAAATGGGTTATAAGGATTATTAATGTTTGGTTATCAATTATTAATTGTATTAGGTATAACAAAGGGATGGAGCTTATGGTACGTGGGATGATCCAAGACAAAATCTGTATTTGGATGTTTCTTGCCAAGAAAAGATATATTTGTCTTTTTCTTTGCTATTTTAATTAAAGTTCTTTCTGGAGATATGTGTGTGTGTGTGTGTGTGTGTGTGTGTATATACACACACACACACACACACACACACACATACTTCCATTGAAAGGGTATGGGAAGAGTTGATTTTTTGTCACTGTTAAATGTGTAAATTATTTTTGTAATGTAAAAGTATATGCATTGTTTAAATAATTAATTTTAAATATTCCTCTTCTCAATCAATATTTTATTCATTTTCCAGGTTAGCACTCTACGTATATGAATATCTGCTCCATGTAGGAGCTCAGAAATCAGCCCAAACATTTTTATCAGAGGTATGTTTTATATATTTTCTGCATTTTATTTTGATATCTTATATAAGTGAATGAAAAATATAGTGTAACAATTATTTGAAAGTAATTTTTATATATTTATATATTTTATATTTTTTATAAAAATATAAAAATATAGTGTAACAATTATTTGAAAGTAATTTTTATATATTTATATACTTTATATTTATATATTTTATATTTTTATATATTTATAGCAAATGCTCAGTCATCAGTATGCATAATATAGCCTTTGTAGATTATTTGTAAGCATTTTTAGTATCCCCAAATGCCATTACCGTGCCATTAACCTCCTATTCAACTTTCCAGCCATTTAGCCCCCCTTAGAAATGTAAACTAATATTAGCCTTGGCAACAATAATCAAAAAAGCAAATTTATTTATAAAAAAAAAAAAGACAAATACCACTATGTCTCAAAATGTCTTATTTTGGCATTATTCACAATTTTAGAAAACATGGTTTTGTTTTGTTTTAATTTTGTATGGATAATAATGGCTTGATGACTAGATTTCAGTTAGAAAACATTTTGATAATCTTGTTTTAAGTTCTTGTTTCTCTTTTTATTTTTCTCTTTCACATATTTTTAAACTTTGAATTTGAGCTTTCTTACCATGGTACTTTTTCTCCTCCAATTTATATAACAATGAGGTTGAGTAGGATTTTATTTTGTTCTTTTATATGCAAGGCACATAATGTGCCAAGGTGCTTTATATATATTGTCTCTGATTCTTGTAAGAAATTTTCAAGGTAGATGGTATTATTCGTATTGTACTGATGAGAACAGGGCTCATAGAGTTTATATAACTGACTCATGGTCACACAGCTTAGTGAGTTATGGAACTGGAATTTAAACCTAGGTCTATGCTAATTTCAAAGCCCCTGGTCTTCCCTCTATATCTATGCTGTCCAGTGTGTTAGCCACTAGCCATACGTGGCTTTTTGAGCGCTTGAAATATGACTAATCCAATTGAGAAGTGCTATAAATGTGAAATATATACTGGATTTTGAAGACTTGGTATGAACAAAAGTATATAAAATATCAGTAATTTAAAATTTTTAATCATACCTTGAAGTGGTAATATTTTGGGTATATCAGGTAAAATAAAAAATGTTACTAAAATTAATTTTACGTCTTTTTTCTTTTTTAACGTGGTTGCTATAAAAGTTAAAATTGCATATTCAGCTCTCATTTGTGGCTCATGTTTGTATTTCTGTGGGACAGCACTACCCAAAATCATGTTGTCTCCAGTGATCTCATTAACTTGGCCCCCACCAGATCAGGGACACAATAGGCAACCCCTTGACCAAAGTGCCTGCCTGAGGTACAGCCTTCTGGAGATTCACTTGCTCCCCAAATGAACACACAAGTAAACAAACACACATAGCCCCCCAATCTTGTATTTATGATAATTACTTAGTGTATGTGAACCACTTACTAGGGCCTATTTGTAACTAAGGAACTTGAGAGGTTTGCTCACAATGCATAAGAAGTCAGTTGTTTTACCACAGAAGTAATGTATTCAGTGTAATACAAATTTGATTTCAGAGTTAATTCGAATCAGAACAGAAGTTTAGTGTATCTTTAGCTCATTAAGTCATTAATTAGAAGGCTTTGGTCTGTGACCTTTCTAAGTCACATTGACTGTGATATGACAGAGGAAGTGACTGAAATCGCAAGTCAGCTCTTAATATTTGTATTGTTAATCACTGCCAACTTACCGTATATTTAAAAGAAACTAAAGCCAGCTGTGGAGATTTTAAAATTTTATTTTCATGCAGTTGAAAACTTGACAAAATGATGAAAGGATTTACTGATCTCTTTCCTTAGATTAAGGACCATTTTGAATTGGCTCAATTTGTTGGATCCTCACGGGTTACCAAGACTGTATTTTGTTACCAACATTATAAGATATCAGATACAGTGATTATTAAACTTCATCACAAAAGAAAAATGATGCTAGTTTATGTAAGGAAGTTCAGATATCTGGACTCAAGTGGATTTAACAGATAACTAGGTACTGTACTAATATAACCTGAGCTCAATGGAAAATGGATATACAAAATTTCTAGGGCTAGTTCAAAAGAGATTTACACATTTTTTTTTAAAATTGGAGAACAGTGTATTTTTCCAGGACCCATCAGCTCCAAGTCAAGTAGTTGTTTCAATCTAGTTGTGGGGGGTGCATCTCAGTGGCCCATGTGGGTATCAAACCAGCAACCTTGGTGTTATGAGCACTGTGCTCTAACCAATTGAGCTAACTGGCCACCCCCCCGATACGTTTTTTCTTTCTTTTCTTATTGGCAAATAGTGTGTTTTTCCAGGACCCATCAGCTCCAAGTCAAGTAGAGTAATACCTTGGTTTGCGACATAATTCATTCCGGAAACAAATTACTCATATTGCAAGACATCACTCATTTACCATGTTAAAATGTATTAGAAATGTTTGCTTGTCTTGCAGAACACTCACAAACCACGTTACTCGCAATCCAAGGTTTTACTGTAGTTGTTTCAATCTAGTTGTGGAAGGTGAATCTCAGTGTGTATCGAACCAGCAACCTTCGTGTTATGAGCACTGCCCTCTAACCAACTGAGCTAACCAGCCGCCCCCAAAGATTTACACATTTTTGACAAGTGCTTGCCATGATTTTATTTTCTGTGTCTGTATTTGGAATACAAAAGTGAGGATTTCTCTGAATTATCAGCCTGGTTCAATTTCGCAAGAGGAATCAGTTAAGCTGAAAACAGACTACTGTCATCAAAAAGAAACAGTATTTCTGGACTTTGGAGATGAGTGTATATGATTTCCAGAACTATTCTTCACTTTCTAACTTGTCAAAATTCTGAGTGGCGCTGTGAAAATATTGGGTTGTCACAAAAGTCATGACACATTTTTGCAATGAAAAACATAGAAAAAAATACGTCATGACTTTTCCGACAACGCAATATATTCTCATTACCTAAATAATCAATGCAGGGTTGACTAAATATAGGTGTTGGCCGGTATCTTTAAATAAAATTAAGAATTAGAGTATTGCAGAGATCTAGATTTTTTTCTCTTCTTAATTTTTTTACATTGTTTATACAATATTTGCACTGTTTATACAATGTTACTAGCCCTTATTTATCATAAATTAGTCAATAAGTTAGCCAGAAATAGAAGTGTAAAACATCTAACAGATTGCTTCTTTGGATTTTATTTAGGGATGCTAAATTATTGAACACCATAGACTCTAAAATTCTGTTCTCTCTGTTTATCTTTCACTGGTATGAAGAGAGAAAATAATCATTTCTAACCGGTTTCTTGAACTTTAATTTGGAGGCAGTATACTATAGTGCAAAAGAGCATAGGCTTTGGTGCCCCACTTCTGGGTTTGAATTATATTCTACATCTTATTTACTTATTCAGTTTTATTAATTATTTTTAAAAAAAGATAATTGTAATAACAGCTTAAAGTTGTGCTGAGGTTTAAATGAGTTAGCACACACAAAGTGCTTGTAAGGAAGGGCCTGGCATGGAGTAAGTGTTCAAAGTGTTATTTTTTAAATTCTTGGCCAATTCTTTTCTATCCTGTGTAGTCTTTTTCTTTAGAGTCCAAGTATAAATATATATCCTATGTGTATGTGTAGGCTTCAAGTGTCTGTCACTTGGATGGCCCACGTTCCTCCTACCTTCTG